TAGACCATGGTTAACCGTCCAGACCGTGGCAAAAATTAACTATGGGCTAAGCCCAAATAGGCAGCTCCAAGCCTCCACAATTCAATGGGCCAAAGCCCAATATCATTCTCCAACAGGCCACAACTCACCGCAGCCCTAGCTAGCTGCGTGCTTCGGCCTCCCGCCTCCCCATTTTGGCTGACAGCTGCTTCCCCAATCCCCATCGCCCATCGCCCATCCTGCAGCCCCGTCGGCCGTCACAAATCGCTCGGAGAAGTGCGAACTGTGAAGGTTGGTGAGGCTAGCTCGAAGAGCCCCATCGTCGCCTCGCCTCCCCTGTCCGATTATCCATCATCCGCCAAAGTCCAAAGGTTCGTCACCTCCCCTGTCCGATTGTCCCGTCAACCATTCTCGTCTCCATCGCCTTCCACCATAGCCATCGACCTCCACCATCATCTCTTCTCAGGCTGCTCCATCACCATCGACCTTCACCGACTGCCATCAACCTCCGCCGACCGCCATCGACCTCCGCCGACCACCATCGAACTCTTCCATTGACTCCGCCATTGTGACTGGCCGCTGCAACAGAGAATGATAATAAACTAATAATGGTCGATTGTTCTTCCATTCCTCTATGTTTGTTCTTCCATTCCCCAATTCAAACTGTTACTAAATGGCCAGAATGCTTAATATGTCTCTGTCTATTATTCAGGCTAGCAAAATAGCTCGTTACGAAGATAGCTCTGGAACTGATGTAGATTCAGCAGCTATGCCGCCTCCTCCAGCTCCGGGACTAGATGGAATTTGTTGAACTTATTAGTATTGAACTATGGATGTTGTTGATTCTTAATCTCATGTTATGTTGGGTTGTAGACTTGAAATTGTTGGTATTATGTTCGGATTAGATGTCAATGCGTTTTTTATTTTAGTCACTAGCTAATATTTAACATTGGATAATACAGGTTTTGTTGAACATGGTCTACTCGGTCCAGACCATACCGGACCGCACCGCACCGCACAGGCGTGGTCTGGTCTGGACCGTATAGGTTATGGTCTGGTCTATGGTCTCTGTTCTACCCTCACGGTCTGGACCGCAGACCGTGTATATGGTCTGGTCTGGACCAGACCGCACCGTTTCCCAGACATAGTGTGCACCATAGCGAAATTGTTTGGGATTATTTTGACTTATTTTATTTGTATCTGGATATATTTACTTGGGCCAGAGAAGGGTAATGTCCCGTTGCTGCTGATTTATTGTCCGCCTGTTTGTGAGAAAACTCGGCTCAAGGGACGAGTACTTTCTTCAGCAATTACCCGACCCCTAAAATCAGCCTGTTTCTCTGAGACCCAAATCGGCTCTAACCCTAAAGCCGAGCGGCAGCCCCACTCACCCTCTCTCTTCGTTTTTTTCGGGAACGGATCAGGTCAGTAACCTTATGGTGAGTAATCATGAGTAACCAGCCCACATCAGCATGACATCAGCATCCTCTCTCTCTCCTGGAAAGCCTTTAATTTTCCCTTCTTTAATCTTTGACGGACGATTTCTCACTCATTTTAAGTCGAAATTTAATTTTTTTTGCACAGTTAGATCAGGTTAATTGTGCTCTTCAAAATGATATCCACTTTAATATATTTTTCGAACAAAAAAAATTGAGCAATTTTTTACCAGTCTATACCATATGGTATTGACTGGTATTGAAATAAAAGCATACCTATGGTTTGAAAAACGTACCATGGTGGTATGAACAAACCAAGACTGTAGGATGGTTGAATGCATGATAGTAGAAGTATATTAATTGTCATTTACGACTTTTAACATTGTATACCATACAATACCACCCCGTACCAGGGTGGTATTGTATGGTATTGTGTGGTATTTTTTGGTCATGTAATTTGTTCACTCAGAAATTTGTACATCCAATAGATCATGATGAACTCGTCCTTTCTGTGCAAACATTTTCAAAAACGAATTAAAAACGAAGAAGATACCATACAATACCACCCCGTACCAGGGTGGTATTGTATGCAAGGACCAGGATACCCTACCGGACCGGCCGGTCGAACCGGAAAAACCGGAAACCGGAGGTAAACCGGCGCAATAGGGCTTTGTACCCTTTAATAACCTGCCGGGCGGTATTTGAGGTTGGACCGCATTGGGCCGAAATTTCGGCCGGTTTAAAACCAACCCGGCGGTCCCTTCATTTAACCCAAACGGCGCCGTTTGATGAAAAAAAAAAACGGAATGGAAGGGAAGCAGAGACTCACAAAACCCTACCTGCCTCTCGTCTCTCTCTCCCAACACTCAGCAGCCGCGTCGCGCCGCTCTGGTCTCCACTCTCCCCGCGTCGCCAGCATCCCCAGCAACCCCAGCAACCGGCGATCAACACCACCGGCGATCAGAGATCGTGGCCGCCACTTTCCCGCGACCCCGCCATCACTTCCTTCTTCTTAATCCAAGTTGCAGGTGTGGATCTCTCTCTCTGTTCTTCTTCCCTGCACGCAGAAACAAAATCATTTCAACCTCAAAATCCATTTTAAATCACAGAAAACTGAAATTTGTTTGGAAACAGCGGTTTGTAACAAATTTGGGAAGCTTGTATTCTGTTTTTTTTTTTCAATTACTGTTCTTATCCCTAGTCTGTGTGGACCTCGTAATTCCCATACCTAGTTGCAGGTGTAATTTATGGTTTTCTACGGCTGAATTCTTTTTTATGGGTTGTTAATGTCAAGATCATAAGTGTAGCGCACAAAAATCATTCTAATATAGAATCTCTATGGATAAATTGTTGAATCGAACAAAGATGTCGATCAGGATAAAATAACAAACATGGTGAATTTTTTTTTTTTTGGTAATGCAAACATGGTGAATTGATTTGGTATTGATTGTTAGCCTAGCTAGTAAAAGAAGGAACAAATTTCTACCTGTGATGGGGGCTGACTGATTGTTGTTTTTTTTATTATTGTTTACTAACATTATGTTTATTGTTTTTATTGTGACAACAATGGCTAGCGGGGAAGAAACCCCGGCAGTTGAGCAAGGAGCAGCTTCTAGTACACCACGAGTGTCAACAAAGAATGTACGGGCCAAAACTGATCCGACTTGGAATCATTGTACCTTTCATCTTGAGGGAAAGGTTGAGGTACGCACTTGCATATATTGTGAGAAAGTATTCAGAGGTGGAGGAATCACTAGAATGAAAAGACATCTAGCTGAAGTTAGTGGGGATAATACTGTATGTACAAAGGTTCCTCCTGAGGTGAGGCAAAACTTGAGCAAACTTTTGACTGATTATGAAGCTAATAAGAAGAAATCTGAACTTATCAAAGCTGGATTTAAAGAACCTCGTGAGACTAGTTCTTCTAGTGCACATGATGATGGTAATAGTTCTAAAAGAGTTGCTACTTCCACAAATGTGTCTACTCGATCAGTTGACACTTTCTTTGCTCCACGATCAACTTCTGGTAGCCAACCAGGAATAAAAAGTGCCTTAGCAACTAAAGAAGCTGTATTGTATGTAGATCGAGCATGGGCTAGATGGTTCTATGATGCATGTGTTCCTTTAGAAGCAATTAAATCTCCACAGTTTAAAATTGCATTGGATGCTTCTTTAACCCTTGGTCCTGGTTATGGTGGTCCTACATATTATGCTTTGAGGTTTACTTTATTGGATAGCATTGTGAAATAATGTCAGATATTGATTGAGAATCTTAGATCTCATTGGAAGGAATCTGGATGCACCATTATGGCAGATGGTTGGACAGATAATAGGCATAGATCTTTGATCAACTTTCTGATTTATTCTTCTAATGGCACATGCTTTGTGAAATCCGTTGATGCTTCTGGTATGGTGAAGACTGGAAAGAACTTGTTCAAGTTGTTCAGTGGGGTCATTGATTGGGTTGGGGCAGAGAATGTTGTGCAGGTGGTGACGGATAATGCATCTAATTATAGATCTGCAGGGAAGATGATTCATGACCATTATGGTAATATATATTGGACTCCTTGTGTTGCTCATACCCTGAATTTACTTCTGCGAGACATTGGAGGGCTGCCTCATGTTAGGACCCTTGCATATAGAGCAACCAAAATCTCTAAATTTGTTTATAATCATGGCCCACTTTATTACTGGTTGAAGACAAGAGATAATTGGAAAGAAATAGTGAGGCCTGGAGCTACAAGATTTGCAACTACATTTCTGAGTTTGCAAAGTATTTTTGAGCATATGAATGACTTGGAGGCTCTAGTGATCAGTGAATTCTTTCGAGATAGTGAGTTCTCGAAAATGCAGGTTGGAAAGGATGTGAAGTCAATTGTACTGGATCAACAGTTTTGGGTGGATTGTGACTTCATAGTTAAGTTGACAATGCCAATAGTGAAGTTACTTCGCATTGTGGATTCAAATAGTAAACCAGCTATGGGGTATGTACATGATGGGATGATTAGAGTGTCAAAAGCTGTGAAGGCTGTTTGTGGAGATAAGGTGGAGCAGTACAAGCCTTACATAGACCTCATTAATAAGAGGTGGGATAAACATTTGAGCTGTGATTTGTTTGTGACATCATACTTCCTTAATCCGGCTTTCAAGTATGCCAACGATTTTGAAGATACAAGGCCTATTAAAAATGGCATTCTTGATCTTCTTGAGAGCCAATCCTTATGTCCTGATACAAATGTGGTGCTTGAGGAGCTGAATTTGTATTCTGAAATAAAAGGTAATTTTGGGAGGAAGCAAGCAATTGATTCTGCGCAAAAGCTACAACCAGGTAATTGAATTTATGTACATTAATACTAGTTCTGTTTATTAAGAATTAAGATACTAACATGTATGCTTAATATGCAGATAAGTGGTGGAAATGGTTTGGTATTGATGCTCCGCATCTGCAAAAGTTGGCTATTCGCATTCTTAGCCAAACTGCTTCTTCTTCTGGCTGTGAACGTAATTGGAGTGTATTTGAACGTGTGCACACCAAAAGAAGAAACAAATTGCAGCACAAAATGCTTAGTGATTTGGTGTTTGTGAATTACAACTTGCGACTGCAGAATAGGTATGAATAAACTTGTGAATTATTACTTGTTCTAGTTTTTATATTTACTATTGAACTGAATCAATATATGCATTCCACTTTGACCAGAGAGTATTATGCCATGAAGAACAAAGAATCATATGATCCCATTTCTCTTGAAAGCATTCATTCTGATATTACTACTGAGTGGTTGATAGAAGAGAATGAAGGGGCATCTTCTAAAGACAAGGAATTGGATATTGATGAGCTCGATCGAGCACTTGCAGAGGAAGGTGTGTGAATTAGTTATTATGATGTGAATTCTAATACATCATAATTTATAATGTTTCTACTTGTTTTTTTTTTTGTATTGTAGTTAGTGATGAAGAAGATGAAGGAGACGAGTTCCCGAATGTTGATTTTTCTACATTTGGAGTTGCTTGAAGATATGGATTTGATTTCAAACAAAAGATCCAATTAGTAGTTTCTACTTTCTAGTTTGAGACATTGAATTTGTGGTTTGTGAACATTAAAGTTTAAACTTGTGGTTTGTGGAACATTAAGCTTGTGGTTTGTGAACATTAAGCTTGTGGCTTTTTGTACTAGTTTCTAAAAATGTATTTGGATGATTATGAGGTTTATTAGGTATTGAAATCTCGCACTTTGTTGAATGTTACCTAAGCTTATTTACTCTTTTACAGTTTCTCAGGCGGTATAATCCGGTTTTATTCCGGTATTTTCCCGGTATGGTACCCTAATTTTGTCGGTACGGTTTTTTAACAAAAAAATAATTTTTTTATTCCAAAAACGGTATTTGCCGGTAGGAAACGGTTGAACCATGGTTGTACCACGATTTACCATGCCAAAAACGATTCCGGTTTGATGGCCGGTACGGTTTCGTAATCCATGATTGTATGGTATTGTGTGGTATTTTTTGGTCCTGTAATTTGTTCACCCAGAAATTTGTAGATCCAATAGATCATGATGAACTCGTCCCTTCTGTGCAAACTTTTTCAAAAACGAAGAAGATACCATATGGTATGCAGTTGGTACCGAGAGGCCAAAATTTTTTTTCTAAAAAAATATTGAAAATTATTCTCATTTGGTAGAGCACGATGAACTCGTTCTATCTGTGCAAAAGAAATTAAAAACCGAGTTAAAACGAAAAAGATATGAGCCGATTAAGAAAGTTAGGAAACATAAAAATGGTCTTTAATTTTCCATCCTTAGATCTGGATTTTCTAAATGAAGAGTCCAGATTTGATTATTGATGGATGCATAACTCATAACTCATGGTTATGCACGCTATTTTGAGCCGTTTTTTCCCCCTCTTGCATCTATCTCGTTCCCTTCGCTAGAAAAACGACGACAACTCTCATCTCCTTTTCTTTCCTTTCTCCTCCAAACCCACGAATCCCCCAAACCGAACCAAAAAGGGCTTCACCTTCTTCTTCTTCTTCTTCTGTTCGATTTACCCCTCTCCCTCTCTTTACTTCTGGAAACAAACGAGCGAAGCGAAGACAATACTTTTGCCGGCGGCGACTGGAGTCGAACACCGCCGACGTTGACAATGACGACGACGGGAGACGCCGTTTCACAACGGCGACGAAGCTGAGTGGTGATTTTTTTTTTTTATCTTACATGGCGATCTCTCTGAGGGTTTCGTTTGATTCTGGTTTTGGGAAGTTATACCTGAGGTTTTCTTTCATTTCTGGTTTTAATGGCGGACGAAGGAGGAAGAGAAGGCCGACGACGAGGAGGGGTGACGCCGTTTCACCACGGCGACGAAGGTGAATGGCGATTTGTTTATGTTACATATCGATTTCTCTGTGGTTTTCATTTGATTCTGTTTTTGGGAAGTTAGATCTGAGTTTTCTTTGATTTAACCTTCCTTCGATATGACTTGGTTAGGAATCTCAAATTTGGTTGAGTTATGGATGGTTTAGATTTAGTAGAATCGCTAGATCTGTCCTATCATACCAATTAAAATAAGTTTACCCAACTGAATGGTTTTCGATTCATGTTACATGAGTTTGAATGATTCTATATTTCTGATGGCTTTAATTTTATCCAAGATTCAGATTGCTGGGTTGTGGATTTTGGGTTTCGGGTTCTGGTCGTTGTTCCTATGTTTTGGTCCGGATATGGGTTTGTACATGCTCACCTTTGATATAAGGAGGATATTCTTGTTCGACTTGTTTACCATTAAAAAATCTGAAATCCAGGGAGAAAGAATGTCTGGTAAATGTTGCGTGGTGACCGGAGGCAGGGGCTTTGCCGCCAGGCATTTGGTGGATATGCTCATCAGATCAGACAAGTTCCTCGTTCGGATAGCTGATCTACCTCCCGCCATCGACCTCTCCCCGGAGGAGGAGAATGGAGACCTCGGTCGTGCATTGGAATCCGGCCGCGCTTCCTACGTCTCTATGGATCTCCGCAACAAGCCCCAAGTCCTCCAAGGTTTTTACAATCTTCTTTATTGCTTTCGATTCGGTTTGGTGTTCTTATTGCTGCAGCTCTTAAAGGAGAATGGAGACCTCACTCCTGCTTTTTGTTTGTTTTCTTTTTGCTGCAGCTCTTAAAGGAGCCGAGGTTGTTTTCCACATGGCGGCCCCGCATTCAGGTATCAACAACTATCAGCTCCACTATTCAGTCAACGTGGAAGGGACCAAGAACGTGATTGATGCTTGCGTCGAGCTTAAGTGAAGATCCTAATCTTCACTAGCTCTGCTAGTGTGGTTTTTGATGGGATTCATCCAATCTTCAATGGAGATGAAGCATTGCCGTATCCACCCAAGGTAGTATTTCATTGCATACTTCTTCTTCAGGATGTTGATCTTAGAACTAAGCCTGCTAGATGGAGATGGCTTATGGTGGTTGTAATTGTTTCAGCCTCTTGATTCCTACTCCGCGACTAAAGCAGAAGCGGAGGCTGCTGTTCTTAAGGCAAATGGTACTAATGGGCTTCTTACTTGCTCCTTACGTCCTAGTAGCATATTTGGTCCAGGAGATTAAATTGTTTATTCCTTCTCTTGCTGAGTCGGCGAGGGCTGGCAAATCCAAGGTAATGCTTGTATTAGATAGAGCATCACACATTGACAATCCTTCTCTTGCTATTTCTGTCATACTTGACGACACATGTATGTCTGTTACTTCCAGCATTATAATGAGGCTGTTTAGCTATTAATTTTTCTTTGGTAATATCTATGAGCAGTTCTTAATTGGTGATGGCAACAACGTCTACGACTTCACGTATGTTGAGAATGTGGCACATGCTCACATATGTGCTGAACAAACTTTGTCATCATCAGGGGGAGGCTGCAGAGAAAGCTGCAGGGCAGGTACGATTAAGATTTTGTTACACTCACAAAGGTTATGTTTGATTGGACATTGAATGCAAAAGAATCTGAAACTAGCAGTATTTTTAAGTCTAATGAGGAGTAGGTTTGTCTTATGCGAACTCGTTCTATACAGTTGTATTTTTCGGCTTGTTTTTGTAGAAAGGGCAGGTGTAGCTGTAATGTTTTCCTGTGACATTGCTCCACTCATTACAAAATTACAGAGTAAATTAATGAAGGTTCTTTTTCAGTTTTTTCCTGAATTAATGTTTCAATCTGTTGCTGAAATCCAATGCTTTAAGCATGTTGGGCTGTAGATGGTTAAGGATAAAATAAAGTTGCATTACCCTGTCCATTTGCTGTGTGAATGATGATAATCAATCATAACATCTGCTGGTGGTATTATGTTGTGGTTTTCTTTAAGGTAAAAACCTAAGCCAGCCAATCGTATTGAAAATTTCAGACTCCATTAGTATTATGAACGAGCAGTTATTGTTAGGAACTTGGTAGCCTTTCAAGTCTTATACCTTAGGTACCTTTCATACTGAAAGTTGAGTCATTCATACCGTTTTATGTTCGTTAATTGCTTTGAAGATGCTAAATATGCAATAAGTTCTGTTTTCTTCGTTTGAGGGGTTCTTCATTGGCAGCATTGATACGTTATTGCAGTATGTGCATTATGGATTAGTTTCTTTCTCTCGTGGTGGATACATGATTATCCCATTCTTGAAAAACTCTGAAGATGATAACCCTATTTCACCCATGTAATGTTGGTGTTTGCTTCCAAGTCATGCCTGCATGATTGGGACGTGGTTCGTGGATCATTTCTCAAATGTTGGTTGATATTTATAGGCATATTTTATAACCAACATGGAGCCTATCAAGTTTTGGGAGTTCACTGGAAATGTTTGTGCAGGTCTTGGTTATGAGAGGTACTTATATTTGAACATTAAATTTTTAACTACTACTTTGTGTTAGAATTGATCGAAATACTTCTCATTGATAGCTTGTTACACGTTTGCAACCTCTGACTTAGAAAAGTGATTTGCGTGACCTCTCTTGGTCCATTGTCAGTTAAAGCGCTCTTTTGTTCCACAATGGTTTGCAAACACTGGCATTCAGTATCTATAAATAAGTATTCTGCTCACTATGCAGTGAACTAGCTCTGAATATCTGCTCTATTCTATTTCTTTTTAACTTGATTTGATGTACTTTGCAGGCCAAGGATCAAGGTTCCTGCTGTTGCTGTATTGCCAGTTGCTCATGCAATTCAGTGGGCATATAATCTACTCGGCACATATGGGATGAAGCTCCCAGTGCTGATTCCTTCAAGAATTAGGCTTCTTTCTGGCAACCGATCATTTAGTTGTGCAAAGGCTCATGAACGTCTTGGCTATACACCAATTGTATCACTCGAGGTTTGGCAACATTCTGCTGTGATTCAATTTCTTTATTTAGTGCAAACAAGGGCTTGGTCCAGTGTTATTGTCATTGGTCTTGAACCTGGAGGTCTCATGTTCGAGTCCCTTCAGTAGCACCTAATTAAAAAAACTAACATATATCATCCTTATAAAAAGAATTCTCTATTCAGTGATGTTATGCATTGTTTTGTGAATAAAGGAAATTATCCTTGTACAACTTCCACAAAAGTTGGATAGTATAAAATTACGAAGTTCAATCACCTCCAGATGTCCTAACTTATTACTGTGAAATTGTTAAATATCTCTTCAACGTAAATAAGTGTCCGTCAAACTGTTTTTCCATGCAAACCCAGTCTTGGTATACGGAGCTTGGTCTCATTTAATCCGCATGGTGAAATAATAAGTCTGTTTTTCACATTTCCTCTCTTGGGTCAGACTAATTGTGCTTTAATGTCTTTGTATAACTGGTCTCCGAGCTTATAATTACCCTGTTTATTTGCTGTGCCAGCTAATAATATATATTAACAGCTACAAGTGGAGGCACATAAATAAGAAACAACTTATACAGCAGTACCTGTGCAGTTGAGTTTATCTTTTTCGATTGCAGGATGGTTTGAAAAGGACTATTGAGTCATTTTCACATCTTAATGCTGAGAATCAACCTAAAAGAGATGGGCCATCTAAGGCTTCATTATATCTTGGAAATGGAAGAGGTATGATGTTAAATTATTTGCTATAATTGTTAGAGTGTGTCTTTCACGTTGTGCCAAGAGGGAGAAACAAATGTGCAGACTGGGTCATGAAATCCAGAGCTAATTGGACCTTCCTAATTATTGAATTCATATCTAGATCTCTTTTACCACCTGATGTAATATACTTAGCTTGTACTTCAACCGCAGTTACAAATGTGATGGAAACCCGACTAGTGGTGCCGGAGCCCTTTTGTTTTTTTTACTATTATTATTTTGTTGAGTTATTTTTCAGAACAACTATTTAAGGATTAAGACATTGTTATTTTAGATGATGAAAGAACAATATTGAATATGTAATTTCTCAACTCTCCTTCTCTTCTCTTCCTTCCGCTTCTTCCCCCAAATTCCCTTATCAATTCTGCCTCAATTGCTAATTTCTCTTCTCAATCCCTAATACCTGTCATTGCAATTATCATTTGCAGTTGCTGACACACTACTTTGGAAGGATACCAAGAAGACACTCATCGTGTTGCTAGTTCTAATGGGGATTTACTACAGTTTCATTTCGTCTAATTCTACCATTATTACTGCGACTTCAAAGCTTCTCTTGATGGCAGCAATTTTTCTATTCGTCCACGGCAGATTACCTGAGAAAATGTATGTCCCTTATCTCTTCCTTTCAGTTCAGTCCTATGTTGATTTTCGTGCGACTATAAGTGTGCAGTTGCCATTGATTTGATGTCTTTGGATGGGTATCGCTGGATGCACAACCCATTTGCTTCTTACTGCCTTAAAGTCTAGAACAAGCAGCTTTGAGTTTGACCAACAGAAAAGTATGATTTGTGTTTGTATTATACTCCAATCTCTTGGTGTAAATTTGGAAGGGAGACGTTTCTTCATCTAGATTAAATGCAGCGCTAACTAATATAAAGCCACATTGAATAATGTATGAGCTTTTGGATCTGTATGTTTTGTCAGTAAGAGCCTTAAGGTGCTCAGAAGTATAAATATTGGATGTGAGAACCATCATAGAAGCTTTCAGTGTTGTTTAATTAAGAGAACTGGACTATTATAGTGTGCTAGTGACACATTTGATTCATATGCTCAGATTTGGGTATAAAATCGAAAAGATCCATCCGTCTGATTTTTACTGGACTGAGAAGAAGTCTTACCAAGTTGCTCATGTATTAGCTTCGTTCTGGAATGTCGGGATCAACATTCTAGAATCTCTTTGCAGAGGGAAGGACTGGTTGGTTTTCCTCAAGGTACTTAAATGTTTACGAGATGTTTACATTCTGTGTAAAATGTTTAGTAAGTGATGTACATAAAGTGGTATAGTACGAATAAGAGTCTTTACTAGTGGTTGTTTAAGTTATTCAAACGAGTGAACACTTTGTTTTAACTAGCTTGTGTAAAATGCTCTTACGTTGGAACAGGTTGTCTTGTCGCTGTTGATCATTGGCTTCATAGGGACCATTTCCCTTCACTCATTGTTTGTAATGGGTACTCTCTTTTTTTTTACCAAATCTTATACTTGGCCTTCTGATCAGTAATTAATTAAGTTGCTAATCGCCATGTCACGTGATTATCATAACTGCAGGAGTTCCCACAACTTTTTTAGGGTTCTACTTGTACGAATGGAACGAAGAAGCGCTTGATGGTTTGGTGTCGGATGCTCTCTCTTACGGATATAAATTGAAATCTCAAATCATCCACAAAGTAACTGGTCCAAAACTTGACTAACAATGAAGGCTCATTAGATAAACTATGCAGTTTTTCTTTGTGCCCCTCCCTTGGTTGACAGTTTTGTAAAGGTCACGGAAACATACATGGTCAGCTGGGATACTTCTGTTTGTATCGAGTGTTACACTAACAGCGTAATGCAATCTGTTTTTGATTTTATTTGGCTACTATAACTTGATCATTTAAACTTATAGTATTAGGCATATCATTTGCCAGTCACCATGGGACGGGCTAGCATGCTAACCCCTTAAGGGGTTGGTTTTTTGACACCCCCTTTTAATTGGTCAATTTTTCATTAATTATTGACAAGTATTAATGAAAGTAAATATAATAAATGTTATGTTATTAAATACAAAGTAAGCATTAAATATACCACATTAATTACCACTTTACTGGTATTTGTACCACTGCACTGATACTCAGATATGACATTGCTACCAGTGCACTGATATCGCTACTAGTGCAGTGGTACATCTACCAGTACAGTGGTACAACGTATCAGTGCATTGGTATATCTACCAGTACAGTGGTACAACGTATCAGTGCAGTGGTATATCTACCAGTACAGTGGTACATCGTATCAGTGTAGTGGTATATTTTTTGGAGGTGGTCGGAGGGAGTCTGCCGATGGGATTTTCACCGGAGAAGTGTGGCGGTTGAAGGAAGTCTGGTAGTCGAAGACTGCTTAAAAAGGAAAAATCAAATATAGTGAGAGAATTCCTAATGTGTATTTAATGTGTGTATTTAATTCCTAATGTGTATTTAATAGTGAGAGAATTCCTAATTAATATGGTACATTTAATTCCTAATGTGTATTTAATGTGTGTATTAATTATTGTGTATTAATTATAGTTGTATTTAATATACTAGGAGGGTGTCATTTTTCCAACCCCTAAGGGGGTTAGCATGCTAACCGACCCCAGTCACCATTCATCTCTATACTAGTTGGCATCATCGTCTTTGTCCTTGCCTATTTTGGAAGTAACACGTTTGGTATAATTATCATTCAAAATGAAAGGTTAATTACAACACATCAATCTTGTTGGGAGTTGAACTCGGGAGTTGATTTTTTTTTTCCGTTGAATTGGTAGTTGATATTTGACGTCCTATGAATTTAAAAATTTCGTTCTAAATTTGGAAAATGTACACCTTTGGCACTGAAATTAATTTATTCCATCCGTAGTCATTCAAATTAGTACAACAGTTCAAGTTTGGTCACTCTTCGTTAGTCTCTGTTAACTTTGAGCTGACGTGGCAGTCAACTCTGAGAGTTGATCATTAAATACGTGACGTGATAATTAAAAAATAATTTAATCTTTTAAAAATTCCACATAATTATATGATTATCACAATAAATTGAAAAATAATAAATAATAATAATAATTGCAATAACAAAAAATGAAAAATTGGAAAAAAAAAAAAATTCATTCTCACATCCTATTTAACGAGGGTGCTTTAAATTGTGGAAGCTATGGATGTGGGTGGGCTCGTGGCACGCACATCCTAATTATCCTCCATGTGCCGACAAACCTTTTCGGACCTTCCTACACACACAACTTCACATCTCCGCCGTAGTGCTCAGGCTGTCTCAGGTGACGATGTCCTGTCCGACCTCATTCAAATCTCCCTCTCTTCTTCAACCCGCATCCCAATTTCTTTCCACTGCAATTTGGTCTCCCTTTCAGAAACCCACAACTTTCCCTCCCATCATCCGGTCTCAAATTTCATTGTGCAGAGCCAAAAACCCCAACCCTCACAGCTGCTCCGCCGTCTCCGGCAGCTCACCCGTAGAACCATCTCCGTTGCCGTCGACCATCGTTTTCCTAAACTGAAACGGAAGGACAAGTTTGGGATTGATTTTCCAATTTTCCAATTTTTATTGCAATTATTATTTTTTAATTTATCGTGTTAATGAGGTGGAATGTTTAAAAGATTATTTTTTTATTTTTAATTTCCACGTCACTTATTTAACGGTTAACTCTTAGAGTTGACTGCCACGTCAGCTAAAGTTAACGGAGACTAACAGAGAGTGACCAAACTTGAACTGCTGAACTAATTTGAGTGACTATGGTGATGAATAAATGAATGAGGCAATGGAGAATGATTCTAGTGGAGCCGTTTAGTAGAACCTTGTTCTTCTCTAAGAACACTACCAAAGCTACTAGGATTGAGGTGTGCTCTAGACTTGGTATTCAGGAAACCTATGACCTTGGGAGATACCTGGGGATGCCAGTGATCCATGGCAGAATGACCAGGAATACTTACAGGTTTGTTTTAGAAAAGATGGATGGCAAACTTACAGCATCGAAAGCCAAAACGCTATCACTTGCTGGTAGAGTTACACTAGCCTTGGCTGTCCTGAATGCCATTCCTAACTTTGCTATGCAAACTTCCCCCTTCCTCTCTCTGTCTGTGATAAAATTGACAAAAAGATTAGGAGGTTTGTTTGGGGAGAGCAGGAGGGTAAAAGAAAGACCCACCTGGTCTCTTGGAACACTATTTGTAAGCCTAAGAGCCAAGGTGGTCTGGGCCTCAGATCTGCCAGAAACTTGAACATGGCATACATGATCAAGTTGGCTTGGTAGATACTTAACAACGATTCTGAGCTTTGGGTGCAGGTCCTACAAGGGAAGTATTTTAAGCATAAAGATGGTGCCATTACCTCTATGAAGAAGAGTAATCATTCAAACTTGTGGAAGGCGATTGTCAAAGCAATGCCTCTGATGAAAAGTGGCTGTTGCTGGAGCATCAGGAATGGGGAGTCTACAAGTTTTTGGTCTCATCCATGGATTGACTGTGATCTCAAACTTGAAGATTTCCTCCTTGGCGACCTGACACCCACTGAAAGGAACTCACCAGTGGCAGCATGGGCTACTGAAGAAGGTGAGTGGGACTGGAACCGACTCAAACCACTCCTCCCTGATGACATTCTTAATCTGATTGCAGGCATAGAAGTTCCGAATGCACATCTTGGCGAGGACAAAACCATATGGGCAATGGAACGTGATGGGAGGTTTAGACTCAAATCGGCCTATGCACTTGCTGCAGGGTTGGATGAGGCTGATGATGATCAAAGCTGGACTAAACTATGGAAATGGAAGGGACCAAACATAGTTAAGTATTTTTTGTGGCAGGTGATGCACGATCGCTTAATGACTAACAAGCATTTTTTGTCACTGTTATTCTTTTGGTACACATTCATTCGATGTGTACGAAGTCGGTCTTAGACACTGGCTCTTTCATGATGTAATGGGGATTTCCCAGGACCGTTTTATTACAATAATGAATTAGACGCACTAGCGTCAATCTTTCTACAAAAAAAAAAAATAATTCATTTTTTCACCAAATAGGCTCGTGGGCTCACGAAAAGTTCGGTTTAAAGTGAAATATCTTATTGTACCGATGGTCAATGAGTGGAAGGGAGGTTGCGTTGGAATCATATGACCGGGAGGAACGCCATAGAGTTGGAATTTGCATGAAAAAGGTCTCTAAAGAAATTTTATTTTTTCACCAAATAGGCTTGTGGGCTCACGAAAAAGTTCGGTTTAAAGTGAAATATCTCATTGTAACGGTGTTCAATGACTCGAAGGGAGGTTGCGTTGGAATCGTGTGACGGAGAGGAACGCCATAGTGTTGGAATTTGCAAGAAAAAAGGTCTCTAAAGAAATTTCATTTTTTTCCATCAAATAGGCTTGTGGGCTCACGAAAAGTTCGATTTAAAAGGAAATTTCTCATTGCACCGATGGCCAATGAGGGGAAGGGAGGTTGCGTTGGAATCGTGTGACCGAGAGGAACGCCATAGAGTTTGAATTTGCAAGAAAAAAGCTCTTAAAAGAAATTTCATTTTTTCATCAAATAGCCTTGTGGGTCACGAACAGTTCGGTTTAAAGTGAAATATCTCATTGCATCGGTGGCCAATGAGTGGAAGGGAGGTTGCGTTGGAATCATATGACCGAGAGGAACGTCATAGAGTTGGAATTTGCAAGAAAAAAGCTCTTAAAAGAAATTTCATTTTTCATCAAATAACCTTGTGGGTCACGAACAGTTCGGTTTAAAGTGAAATATCTCATTGCACCGGTGGCCAATGAGTGGAAGGGAGGTTGCGTTGGAATCATATGACCGAGAGGAACGTCATAGAGTTGGAATTTGCAAGAAAAAAGGTATCTAAAGAAATTTCAATTTTTCAACAAATAGGCTTGCGGGCTCACGGAAGTTCGGTTTAAAGTGCAATTTCTCATTGCACAGATGGCCAATGAGGGGAAGGGAGGTTGCGTTGGAATCGTATGACCAAGAAAAACGCCATAGAGTTGAAATTTGAAAGAAAAAGGTCTCTAAAGATATTTCATTTTTTCACCAAATAGGCTTGTGGGCTCACGAAAAGTTTGGTTTAAAGTGCAATTTCTCATTGCACCGATGGCCAATGAGTGGAAGGGAGGTTGCGTTGGAATCATATGACCGAGAGGAACACCATAGAGTTGGAATTTGAAGGTAAATGGTCTCTAAAAAAATTTCATTTTTCACCAAATAGGCTTGTGGGCTCACGAAAAGTTCGGTTTAGAGTGAAATATCTCATTGCACCGATGATCAATGAGTGGAAGGGAGGTTGCGTTGGAATCAAATGACCGAGAGGAACGCCATAGAGTTGGAATTTGCAAGAAAAATGGTCTCTAAAGAAATTTCGTTTTTTCACCAAATAGGCTAGTGGGCTAACGAAAATTTCGGTTTAAAGTGCAATTTCTCATTGCACCGATGACCAATGAGGGGAAGGGAGGTTGAGTTGGAATAGTGTGACCTAGAAGAACGCCACAGAGTTGGAATTTTTAAGAAAAAAGCTCTTATAAGAAATTTCATTTTTTCATCAAATAGCCTTGTGGGTCTCGAATAGTTCGGTTTAAAGTGAAATATCTCATTGCACCGGTGGCCAATGAGTGGAAGGGAGGTTGAGTAAAAATCGTATGACCGAGAGGAACACCATAGAGTTGGAATTTTCCAGAAAAAATGTCTCTAAAGAAATTTCATTTTTTCATCAAATAGGCTTGTGGGTCACGAAAAGTTCGGCTTAAAGTGCAGTATCTCATTGCACCGATGGCCAATGAGTGGAAGGGAGGTTGCGTTGGAATCGTATGACCGAGAGGAACGCCATATAGTTGGAATTTGCAAGAAAAAAGGTCTCTAAAGAAATTTCATTTTTTCACCAAATAGGCTTGTGGGCTCACGAAAAGTTCGGTTTAAAGTGCAATTTCTCATTGCACCGATGGCCAATGAGGGGAAGGGAGGTTGCGTTGGAATCGTGTGACCGAGAGGAACGCCATAGAGTTGGAATTTGCAAGAAAAAGGTCTCTAAAGAAATTTCATTTTTTCACCAAATAGGCTTGTGGGCTCACGAAAAGT